AAAAAAAAAGTATTTGGGATAAAATGAGAGCCACATGTCTCTGAACTATCCCGACCAAAAGTCTCCCGGTGGGGTTTGCACAGAACCACTGGCTGGCAAGGGTCTGAGGGATGCTTTTCTGCCGGCAGCCTCAGTTTCCTCATCTGTACGGTGGGGACAATAACGGTGCCCATCTTGCTGCCCAGCATGTAGAAAGCACTCGGCAAACACCGGCGTTGACTGACTTTCTCACGGGCTTGGGACTAATGAGGGCCAGGGCATGGTCAGGGAGAGGCAGCCGGGCCTTCCTATGACCTCCCTTTTCTGGTTCCCGGAGGACTCTCTTGTGCTTGTAACTTGGGTCTCTACATACCCTCATTCAGTCAGTCAACAAACTCCTAAAGTAGCACCGAGGACACAGCCCCTACCCTCAAGGGGTCTGCAGGCACTGAGGTGAGGCTGTGGTGAGGGAAAGACAGACCTCCATCCCCCCGCACACACATCCTCTCCCTGCTGTCCCTCCCAGCTCTGTTTGAGCCTTGCTTTTTTCCCTACAAAATGAGACTCACAGAGTTGTTTTCATGTTCAAGGGAGAAAAGGGATTGATGGGAAAGAACTTTCTAGACTGCCAAGTGCATCTAAACAGATGGCCAGGACTATATTAGGAAAGCGGAGACCCGCTCATAGAGTGATGCTAATGGTCAGTGGGTTCCAGGGCAGCGTAAAAACCTCCGGTTTTAAGAAGTTTTCAAATAAAGGAATGATGCTCTTAGCCCATCCTTTGAGTAGGAAGAGACATGGGGGCAGTTGGTAGGGGAGGGATGGGCTGAAATGTGGTTGCTTACCTTGCTTTCTAGGCCAGGACCTGAGCTACGGGAGGGTGGGGCACAGAAGCAGATGAAATGCAATGGCTGTCTTCCCCTCACCTAGCCGCCCAGAGGTCAAGGTGCTGAAGGGGTGGGGACACCAAGCTCAAAGTCTCACTGCCTGGGTGGCTCAGTCGGTTAAGCGCCCGACTTTGGCTCAGGTCATGATCTCGTGGTTTGTGGGTTTGAGCCCCACGTTGGGTTCTGTGCCTGAATCCTGCTTCGGATACTGTGTCTCCCTCTCTCTCTGCCCCTCCCCTGCTTGGGCTCTCTCTCTCTCTCTTTCTCTCTCAAAAATAAATAAACATTAAAAAAAAAATTTTTTTTTAATCTTGCTGCTTCAGCAAGGGGACAGTATTGGTTAGGGGGCAAGCAATGTTGCTGTAACAGTGTGGAAAATATCGTTGCTTCAATGACACAGAGACAAGTTTCTCCCTCACGTGACAGTCCAGGGAGGTGGTCCAGAGCTGGCGTGGCAACTCCCCAGGGCTGGGCTTCCATTTTGTAGCTGTCTTCCCTCTTATCCATATGCCTTCTGCCACAAAACTGCAATTCACTTGTCATTCCAGGCAGAGGAAGAAGAGAAAGAGAGAAAGGGCTGACACATTCCTTTCCTATTAAGGACATGGGGTGGCCAGCCTCCAAGATTGTCCCCGATGATCCCTGCCCTGTCCCTACCCCCCATATTCGTGCCCCCGTGTTGTCCCTTCCCACAGTGAACAGGGATGACTGCATGACCGATAGGGTATTTGGGAAAAGACTGAGTGTGACTTCTGAGGCTAGGTCATAAAAGACATTGGAGCTTCCACCTTGCTCTCTCTTGGGTCACGCACTCTGGGGGAAGCCAGCCGCCATGTCACGAGAACACTCATGCCCTGTGGAGAGGTCCATACAGTGAGCAGAGGCCTCCCACCAGCGGCCAGCGTGAACCTGCCCGCCACGTGAAGGAGCCACCTTGGAAGCGGACCTTCCGGCCACAACCCAGCCTTCAGATAATCGCAGACCCAGAGGACATCTTGACAGCGACTTCGTGAGAGACGCTGAGCCAGAACCACCCGGCTAAGCCCTTCCTCAACTCCTGACCCACTGGAACTGGGTGAGACCCTACATGCCTATTTTTGTTTGCTAAGTTGTGGGAAATCTGTTACTCGACACGGGGTAACTAATCCAGGTCACCCTCAGAAGGCACGCTCATCAGAGTCATTCACATCTATTGGCCTCAACCCAGCCACATGACCACGTGTAGCTGCAAGGGAGTCTGGGAAATACGGTCTTCGGTTGGGCGGCTAGGTGCCGGGCTAAAACTTCAATGACTCGGGTCCTCAACTCAATCACATCTGCAAAGTCCCTTTTGCCAGATAAGGTAATATGATCACAGGTTCCAGGGATTAGGATGTGACACCTTCGGGGGCCATTATCCTGTCCGCCACAACCCAGTAGCTTGTACGTGCATGTTCACAGCAGCTTTATCCATAGTAGCCAAAACAAAAAAAATGGCCAAATATCCTTCTTTTTTTTTTTTTTTTTTTTAATTTTTTTTTTCAACGTTTATTTATTTTCGGGACAGAGAGAGACAGAGCATGAACGGGGGAGGGGCAGAGAGAGAGGGAGACACAGAATCGGAAACAGGCTCCAGGCTCTGAGCCATCAGGCCAGAGCCCGACGCGGGGCTCGAACTCACAGACCGCGAGATCGTGACCTGGCTGAAGTCGGACGCTTAACCGACTGCGCCACCCAGGCGCCCCGGCCAAATATCCTTCTAATGGATGAATGGTTCTGAAAACTGTAGTACATCCACACCATGGACTACTATTTGGCAATAAAAAGAAATGAGCCATAAATACACACAACTCGGTTAAACCTCAGGAAAATTAGTCTGAGTGGGAAAAAAAATTTTCAAGAGGTAACGCGTCGTGTGACTCCATTTACACAACGCCTGTGAGCGAACATCATTACAGAGGTGGGGCCCAGAAGCTACAAGGGGCCAGCGAGGGTCGCTCTATATAAAGGCGCATCTCATGGTGGTTAAGTGTCTTGATTACGGTGGTGGTTACATGAAGCTCCCCACGTGATAAAATTGTGTAAAGCTCCCCACGCACCAGCACACAAGTGCACGTATCACTGGTAAAATCCAGATAAGCTCTGTGGATCCCACTCATGTTGATTTCCTGGTTTTGATGTTGTACGATAGTTACGCAAGATGTTACCATGGGGGATGTTGGAGGAATCTATAATTAGTTCAAAAATTAAAAGTTGGGGTGCCTGGGTGGCTCAGTCGGCTGAGCGTCCGACTTCGGAGGTCGTGATCTCACAGTCCTTGAGTTCAAGCCCCGCGTCGGGCTCTGTGCGGACAGCTCAGAGTCTGGAGCCTGCTTTGGGTTCTGTGTCTCCCTCTCTGTCTGTTCCTCCCCTGCTCGTGCTTTGTCTCTCTCTGTCTCTCAACGATAAATAAACATTGAAAAAAAATTTTTTAAATTACAAGTTAAGGGGCACCTGGGTGGCTCCGTCAGTTAGGCGTCCGACTCCTGATCTGGACTCAGGTCACGATCTCATGATTCATGAATTTGAGCCCTGTGTTGGGCCCTGCACTGACAGCGTGAGATCTGGCTTAGGATTCTGTCTCTTCCTCTCTCTCCATCCCTTCCCCACCCATGCTCTCTCTCTCTCAAAATAAATAAATAAACTTAAAAAAAAAAGTAAAAAAAAAAAAAAAAAGCAGGGTGGGGGGCACCTGGCTGGCTTAGTCGGTGGAACGTGAAACTCTCGATCCCCAGGTTGTGAGTTCGAGCCCCACGTTTGGTATAGAGATTACTTAAAAAAAAAAAAAAAAAAAAAAAAAAATGCTGGACTCCCAGCCTGGAGACCTGGATCCTGGGTTGTAGTTCTGGTTCTTTCCTTAACTCGCCTTAAGTCGACGGCAAATCCCTGGCCACCACTAGGACTCTATCAGCCCCCCTGTGAAACGGGGGTTTTGGCTTGTGTCACAGGTTTTCACAGTTTGATGTTTCACGGCGATACGTTTTGTTCCAAACATCCTGATGGAGACACGATGGGCACTGGTGCTGTGATCCCCCATGGGACTTCTGTCAGCACCTGCACCATCTCACTGGAGGGCTCTCCCTGAGCTCAGAGGAGGCCGGAAGTGCCGAGAAAGGAAAGTCCTCTGACGGGAGCTGGTCATCAAGTGTCCGGGCGCCTTCGCCCCTTGGGCAGAATGGCCTGGCTGTGTGTCTTCTGCACTGGCTCCCAGAGATCCCCAGTGGAAACCCACATGCTTTGTCCTTGTCTTGCCTTCCTTGTCTCACCGTCCCCTCTCCCTGACCTGATTTGCCGGGGAACTTTATCCAAACAAATGACTCGTATTCAAATCATCGTCTCAGAACCTCTGCGAGCCCCGTGTCGGGCTCTGTGCTGACAGCTCGGAGCCTGGAGCCTGCTTCGGATTCTGTGTCTCCCTCTCTCTCTCTGACCCTTCCCCGTTCATGCTCTGTCTCTCTCTCAAAAACAAATTAACATTAAAAAAAAAAAGAAAAGAAAAGAAAAGGAAGGGAGTCAATAGGGCAGCACAACTAGAGAGGAAACCTCGTGAACCAAGGCCCTAGGAAGGACCCTGAGACGATAACTCGCTGTCCCCATCCTCCGCGCTGACCAAGTCACTTGGTGGCAGTTCTCTCCATATCTTGCCTTTTCACTCAAGACCACGTTCCTGTTTGGACCAAGAAAGTAACCCAAAAAGGACTGTGGTCACTCTCTTATCGGGCCTGTGGTGGGGGTGGAGGACACACGTCAGACCCTTCCCCAGCTGCTGTGGCCCCAAGCCATTTCTCCGGGGAAGACACCCCAGCCCCACTGGAGGCCACCACTGGGCACCTCTCAAACTCTAAGCCAGACGAAGGGATGTGTCCTGAGCAGTGGGCCCAACAGCACCCAGGTAGCCTGGTCCTCCTAGGAGAGAGCACTGGAGAGGGAGTCCAGCGGCCACCTTTGTAGAGTCTGTATCTTTCTGAACTCAGTCTCTTCCACATCCACACACCAGGATCACAGGCAGGAGACGTGCCCGGTCTTCACAGCCCACAAACCGTAACCAGTCGTATACTTCCAGTGGGGACGAAGCTCTGTCCTTTTTCCACCGCGTTCCAGCCCTCGGCACAGGGCCTGGTGAGTGTGAGGGGCTCAGTAAACGCCGGCTGGATTAACGAGTTGGCAAATGAATGAATGAATGAATGAGAGTCTGGGTATGTCGTCTAGTTGAACCATTCAATCCAACGTGGTATCGCGAAGGGCCTACTATGTGCCAGGAGCTGGGCAGGCGACTGAGGAAACTCACAAATAGCAAGACGGGATTTCTTACCCTTCCGAGCTCATGGTGTAAGAGCAGAGCAGCCTGTCGTCAGGGCCCGTGTGTGTATTCCTGAGTATCCCCTGTCTACTGAACTTGACTCTCAACCCTGGGTCGCTGCTCAGTGTCTGCAGCAGCTGAACTCTAGGGCAGCCCCACAATCCTTCCTCCTGGCATTCACACCCTTGTGTGATCCCCTCCCCTGCAGTGCAGACAGGGCTACGATTTGCTTCTAACCAACCGACCGTGGCAAACGGGATGGGGTCTACATAGTCACGCGTATGTGACTCTGTCATACACCTCCTTCTTGTGAAGAGGCTCCGTCTCCCTTGCTGGCTTTGACGAGGCAGAGAGCCATGCTGGGGAAGGAACGGAGGGAGGCTCACCCCCGACACCCAGCAGGGAGATGAGGCGCTTGGTCTGATCACAGCGAGGAACTGAATTCTGCCAGCAATTGTGGGAGCTTAGAAGTAGACTCTTCCCCGGTCAAGCCTCAGCTGAGACTACAGCTCCAGCCAACACTTTGTCACCTTGTGAGACCCCGGGCTGGTATTTAAGCTGAGCCCATATTCCCGAGCCACAGAAACTGTAAGTTCATAAATATGTGGGTTTTTTTTTTAAGAATTGTTTTTTATTCTTTTTTTTTTTAATGTTTATTTTAGAGAAAGAGACAGTGCGAGTGGGGGAGGGGCAGAGAGAGAGAGAGAGACAGACAGACAGACAGAATCCAAAGCAGGTTCCAGGCTCTGAGCTGTCAGCACAGAGCCTGACGTGGGGCTTGAACTCAGGAAGCGCGAGATCGTGACCTGAGCCGAGGTCGGCGCTTAACCGACTGAGCCACCCAGGTCCCCCATAAATGTGCGTTGTCACTGTGCAGATAAAAAACCCACTTCGGAATGGAGCCAATGGGAGGAAAGCAGAGGTAGATGTGGACGGAGACAAAGCCTTTGTGATACTGCTCACTTGAGCACCTGGATCCAGCCATGCCTGAAACTGGTCATCCACCCCTGGACGTTCCACTCATGTGAGTCAATAAATTTTATCTTACTATTTCTCTAAGCCAATTGAGTCAGTTCCTGTCCCTTGCAAAAGAGAAAGTCTCGATTAAGACACTCATCTTTACAGGTAAAATTCAGTAACTTCTCTCCTCAAGGAAGCCTTCCCTACCCACACCGGATGGCTTCTGCCTGCTACACCACTCTCCCAACTTACCCTTTGGTTTTATCCTCTTCCGGCGTTCTTTAGCGTCTTGAGTGTGAGTTGTGATACTCGAGCACGATTTGACACACTTTATTTATTTATAAAACGTTTAAGTTTATTTATTGAGAGAGAGAGAGAGAGAGAGGCAGAGACAGAAGGAGGGAGGGAGAATCCCAAGCATGCTCTGCACTGTCAGTGACACGGGGCTCAAACTCATGAACCATGAGATCATGACCTGGGCCTGCTTGGGGCGCCCCAAGAGAAAGGTTTTTAAAAAGTGCTTCAGGGGTGCCTGGGTGGCTCAGTCGGTCAAGCACGAGTCTCTTGATTTCGGCTCAGGTCATGATATGGCGTGTGTGTTCGAGCCCCACATCGGGCTCTACGCTGCCAGTGCAGAGCCTGCTTGGAACTCTCTCTTCCTCTCTCTGCTCCTCATGCATTCTCTCTCTCTCTCTCTCTCTCTCTGTCTCAAAATAAGTAAATAAACTAAAAAATAAAAATAAAACAAAACACCTCTTTCTTGTTGGCACATAGTATACACTAAACAAAACTGATCCAAACAAACAAACAAAAAACGCTTTTGGATCAGAATGCAAGGTTGTCAAGAGGCGGATAAAAGGAATGAGGTTCACGACCCTGTACTGGCCCCCACGGTACGCCAGGAACTTTCAAACAGGCTGTCCCAGTAATTCTCCAGAGCTTTACGGCTTCCGGGCGCAGACACACAGAAAACCCAGAGAAAGTCTGCGAGGTCCAGGTATCCCAGGTGGCCTGTCTGGGCCTTGCCTGCCCGGTCTGTTTCCATTTGTCTGGGCCTCTTTCTCGAACTCCCATACTTACTGTTTTGTCTCTGGGTGTCTAACTTGCTCTCCCTCTCCTGTTTCTCTGTCTCTTTTTCTCTTGCTTCTTTCTCTCTGCATCTGACCCTCTCGCTTCTGTTACTTTCTGTCTCTGGCTCTCTCTCTCCTCTCCCTCTGCCTCTCTCCCCTCTGCCCTGTCCTTCCTCCTCTCCCTGCCTTCCTCCTCCTTTCCCTGCCCTCTCTCCTCCAGGAGTTCAGGCAAGGACCCAGCTGGCCTCTAGGAGACACAAGACTCCCCGGGGGCCCAGCAGGAAGTGCAGTTTCCCCTCTGACCCGTCAGCTGGCCGCGGGGCACCCAGCTTCCCTCCCACTCTGTCCACTCAGACAGCCTGTGCGGGGATAGAGTATCTCCCTTTTGAGGAGCTCTGAGGACAGCCTTTCCCGGGAGGGTAGAGGGTAGGGGGCTGGGCTGCGGCCTGGTGAGCAGGAAAGGAGAACCCCGTGTTCACTGTTCCTGGGTGTTAGCACTGCAAAGGTTGGGGCGCGATGGAGAGAAGCGTCAAAGGCCACAGTCCAGTTCCCTTCCGGAAAGACAGAAGGACACAGGGCAAGGAGCTGGGGGATGGGGGTTGGCAAGAACTGAAGTTCGGGGGGAAAGAGAGAGGTCTCTGCAGAGGCAGGGGCTTCTGGCCAGCCAGGGAGGATAAGGAACCACCCCCGTGGATTTGCACAGCCATTAATATATTTTTACATCCCCTGGGCGACCCTTAGGAGAGGCCCTGTGGTTCACCAGCATCCAGGGGTCAGAGTCAGAGGCCTGGTTTCTGATTCCATTTCCACCCTGCCGCACGCGTGACCTTGGACATGTCACGTGACCCCTCCCAGCCCGTCTCATCATGTATGAAATAGGGGTAAAAGGCCTGCTTATTGCAGGGGTGCAGAAAGGATGGGGGACTAAAGGCCCTGGAGTCAGGAAAGGAGCCAGCACAGGACCAGGAGCCTGGCTTCAAACCGCACACACGGATTATCTCACAGCTGCGGGGGCCGGAAGTCGAGCACTGACCTCACTGCACAACATCAAGGTGTCAGCAGGGCTCTGTTCCTTCCGGAGGCTCTGAGGGGGGGACGGCACTTTCCAGCTTCTGGAGGCTGCTCACACTCCTTGGCTCACAGCCCCTCCCTCCGTTTCTCCGACCATCCTCTGTTGCAGCCACGTCTCCCTCTCCCTCTCCCCCTCCATTAAGGGATTACACCGGGTAATCCAGGATAATCTCCCTGTTTTAAGGTCAACTAATGCGAAACCTTAACTACATCTGCAACTTGAATGCCCCTTTGCAGGAAGCCTAACTATTTACAGGTTCCAGGGATTAGATCATCTGGATGACCATCTTCGGGGGGCCATTTTGCTGTTTGCCATGGGCTTTAACATGCCCCATCTCATTTTAATCTCCCCAACAACCCAGGGCGGGGGGG